GATATGAAATGCAGTGTATTCTTATGAAACAAACTATTGCTATAAAACCTTTGTTTTATTACAATATTTAGCTTCTAATTTTTTTCAAAGAGTTCTGTTTTTCAATTAATGTCAGAAAAGGGTTATGTTTTACTACAAACTATTACACAAAGAATGTTATGCTCAACAATCCAAAATTAAATGCCGAAATTAAATGGTATAATAATATAAAAAAATGGTGTGTGTTAAGAAATATAAAAGGAACAACATATATTTTTTTTGACAGAAGATGCATGATAGTAATTCCTAAATATACTGAATTGTGAGGTTACAAACTCATGTACTACACACACTAAAGCCTAAAGAAAATAATGCACAGTAACATATGTGAGCAACCCCTTCATTTAATTAGTTTTAAAGAATAGCAAATATGTGTGAAATAATCAATGAATGTTGAAAATGTTTTACCTATATGTGTGCATTGTAAAAAAATAGTATAACATGTTTAAAAAGAGTTAAGAATGTGTTTTACACATAAAACACTGTTATGAATCGATACAAAGAGCTTTGCATCGACACATACTTAAGAAAAGAATCATAAAAACGATTCTTCTTCAGTATGAGTCGACACATCCATTCCATGCATCGACTCATAACATGTTGATGCTCCTGAAATACAATTTTCAACCTTTATGCATCGATACATAACTTCATGCATCGACACATACTTAAGCAAAGAATCATAAAAGACACATCCATGCCATGCATCGACTCATAACATGTTGATGCTCCTGAAATACAATTTTCAGCCTTTATGCATCGATACATAACTTCATGCATCGACACATTATATGTTGATGTCCCTGGAAAAAAAGTTTCAACTTTTATGCATCGATACATAACTCCATGCATCGACATATAACACGTTTTATCTTCAAAAATCAAAATTCAATTCAGTATGTGTCGACACATACATGTTATGTATCGACTCATGTAAAATGGTTGGCTCTATAATATGTTGTAGTATCAGTTTGAATCGACTCATAACAACTTCCATCGACTCATTTCGTGTTGTATAACTAACATGAGTCGACTCATACTAACATGTATCGACTCATAATGCGAATTCTTATCTCTAACTATTTTCTGTTACACATATAAGTAAGTTTTCAGCAGCAAATCAGGTGTGACACATTATTACAATTGTGAGCATCAATTACTGAGCAACAAGAAGCCTGAAAGATACTTCATCTTCATCATCTTCTCAATCATCTTCATCATCTTCTTATATTATATATTAAACTACAGGTTTGTTATATGTTTCTTTGAAAAGTGTTTGAATGAATGTTCTCATAAATTTAGCTTTTGATTGATGCAGGGTGTTTTTACTGGAATGTGTGGAACAAAACTTGATCATGGTGTTGTGATGGTCGGATACGGAACCGAAAATGGTACCGATTACTGGATTGTGAAGAACTCATGGGGACCATCATGGGGTGAGAATGGTTACATTAAGTTGGAGAGGAATGTTTTGACAACCAACAATATTGGCAAGTGTGGAATTACAATGATGGCATCCTATCCTACCAAGAAGGGTCTAAACCCTCCAAACCTAGGTCCTACTCCTCCATCACCTATAAAGCCTTCAACTGTCTGTGTGAATATTACTCTTTCTAAACTGGAACCACATGTTGTTGCCTGTTTGAGTATGGAAACTATTTCTTTACATGTGGATGTTGTTCTGCTGAGTCTGCAACCTGCTGCGATGACGGTTCCAGTTGCTGTCCTCCCGATTACCCTGTCTCTGATTCTCAAGCCGAGTCTTGCCGATTGAGTAGAGATAATCCATTTGGAGTAAAAGCTTTGAGAAGGACACCTTCTACAAGTACTTTGAATTGGACTCGAAAAAACTGCCATGAAAAACAACAATTAGTGAGAAAAGATGGTGGAATAATGGTCATTGTTGGTTTGGGCATGAAAAGTTAATAATGTATTATGTACATACAACCAAACAATATGCTATTGTCATATTGATCCTTCAAATAGATTGTATAGATTATATATTCTTGATTATATCTGTGTTTCAAGTTCCTTTACTATATTTGCTGGCCATTTATGATCACGAGTTAGTTCAGATCTAGATTTATAATGTTTTTATTTACCACAACAGGTTCTATTAAGGAGTAGAAACCAAAGCCAACATATACAATTAACTCGGCTTCGGACCAGCAAGTGCATCCAAGTCTTCTATCATTTCATGCAATGTAACAACATTTTATGATTTATGCTTGGTTCGAGTTGGTTATACATTATCAGTGATCTATTTTTTAGTTTATTCGAATTTTGTCATCCTGATTTTCATTTTATAACAGGTAATTAATGGTGGCAATTATGCGTTGTGAAGAGATTGCTAATGAAAAGTTTGATCTTCGACGTACCAAGGATTCGAAAGACCCTAAGGCACAAAAAGTAGGAAAAGTCACAATTGATCAGCTGTGTACAATGCTGCTGAGAAATTGCCAGACTTAAATTGCCCAACTATTGAATCAGCTATTAGAATTATAGCAGGCACTGCAGCAAATATGAGAATTGATGTTGATCTCATATTCTTGAAGCCAAACAAAAGAATTTTTTTAATGATTTTTTTCCAATTTATTGTTAAAGTGTAAGGAAGTCTACGCGGTAATAAACCACACATGACATTTTATTGTACAATGTTGTCTTCTAAATCAGTGAAGAGAAAATTTGATTTTAACTAATTCAGATTACGAGAATTATATTATTTATATAAATTATCAGTCATTCATATCAATGTGAAATTTGATGTTTGGTGTGATTTTGTTGTGTTTAATTCTAATTAAGAATCATATTTGATGTGGTCTACAAATGAAATATCATTGTTTTAGCTAGAAAATTAGTGCATAACCTAATCTTCAACTTCTAAACATGGATTTCAAGATTTTAGCAGCCAATCACATATGATTTGGTTCATTCAAAGATACATCATATGTGATGTTAACATGTTAATGGGTGTTTTAACCCTGAGAATACTTTAATTTTATCAAAAACTTGGTATGTGTCATTAGATATAAATATTGTGGATGATTGTACTATGTAGTTATAACTTCAAATTTTGATATTGCGAGTGATTGTATTGTTCATGAGACTGTGACAGACATGTAATCTCTTATTTGTCTAATGTTATGATACTCTCATATTTTTAATTTATGTGTTTATTAAATAAATAAGTTTCCAATCATATACTTGACTCTTTTTCCCCCTCATTAATTGATGTAAAATCCAAACAAAAAGATGCTTTTTCTCCAATTATTGGAGGCTTACATTACTTATTTTGATCTCAACTCATGGTCAAATATTTTTATATATCAAAAAATTATAGATACTAATAAATTATCTCTTTTAAACTAAATTTTTGAAATATGGTCAATTCATAACTGTTGAATGATGGTATACTTCAATTGTAGCTATTTTTTCTTCATACATGAACTCTTCTTAGCTTAATGCGAGTGCTAGACCGGTACACGTGCGAACGCACGGGTATCATACTAGTTCAAGATGAGTTTTTTGGCAAGTTTGCCACTTGGCAATCTCTTAGCCATTCTTTTATTTATATTTTTGATATAAATGGAAAGTTTTTTTTAATGTATTACTATTATTTTTATTTTATTTTTTAATTTCTCTCATTAATATCAAGACACAGATGCAACATTATGTACATCAGCAACCATTCAACTTCCCTCGGAAATCAATTTTTTTTGTCTTCCAGTGCACAGTGCAACATTCTATATATCGAGCAATAAACTTTTCCCGTTTTCCAAACCCTAACTCATGTATTCAGATGGATCTAAGAGGCAATTTCAAATTTTGCTCATCAATTAATTATGTTTTCCAAGTAAGATCATGAATCACAGTTTTAATTGGTGTTTTTTTTTGTGCAAAATCCATATGAATTTCGTGGATATAAATAGGTATTATTCATCACAAATTGTAAGCACATTGGATTTATTCTTCATTGTTGTTATTCACGTCTCACGATTTTGCATCTATCTGTTTGTGTTAGGTTTGTTCATGGCTTCCGAAGGTGTCAAATTTGTTAATAAAATAAATTCTGCAAAAGATTCGTGGAACACTGTGGTTCGAGTTGTCCGATTATGGTTTGTACCAGACATGAATGTGAAACATAAATATTTTGCTATGGAAATGGTTCTCATGGATGATAAGGTGATATGTTTGTTTCATTTACCATTTAAGTTTAATTGTAATAAAATGTTTGTACTGAGATAAACTGAATTGTATATTGTTTGTGATTTGATAGGGTGACAAAATTCAAGCTTCTGTTAGAAAAGTCTTGTTGCCTCGATTTGAAAATAAAATTAAGGCGGGATCTTCGTATAATTTCAAGTCATTTGGTGTCGCTACTAATACTGGAGTGTTTAGGAATACGAAACAATAATTTAAATTGAATTTGCATAATGGCACGATTGTCACATATGTTGGAACTAGAATGACAACATTATCGCCTTATTCGTTTGTATCTTTTACAGATAATCTTGGCAACATAGACATAGACTACTTGATTGGCAGTATACCTTATGTTTTAGTATATTTTTTCATGTTTTTTCATATATTTTTATAGTTGTGCAACTAAAGTTCTAATTTCTTGAATATTTCCCAGATGTTATTGGTACTTTGTCTTTGTTGGTCGTGAAAGGGTGTATGAAAGGAATTGTGTAGCTACTAAATTTAAAGTTGTTAAGTTGGAATCCAATGGGAAATATAGTATATGTGAGTTATATCGTATACTGTTATGTAATACTTTAATCATTTGTCTGATTAAATTTTATAACTCATGTAGAATTAAACTTGAGTGCACGCTATTTGGACCGTATGTTGAAGCCCTCGATACCTTTTTGCAATCTGGCTGTAATAGAAATATTGTTGTTGTTGCTTAGTATCTGAAAGTGAAATTGTATAATGGAAAGTACCAACTTCAAAATGCAATGAACTCTACCAAGCTTTTGTTCAACCTTGAAATTCCTAAGGCAAATAATTTGAAGGTCACCGATAACATTGGTTCATCTACACAACCATTCAGATATATGAAAGATGCTTCGGAGATGAGTTTAGGAGAAGAATTTTTGAACTTGAGTCAACGCAAAACTATTGAGGAACTGAAGGATTGTCAATATGTAATAATTTGCCATCAATTCATACAAAAATTACTTGAGATGAATTGTCTACTTTTTATTTTGTTAACTTAACATAATTGTTTTTTCTGTGTAGAATATTGTTTGTATTGTGTTAGGGACAATCAAACATCTTATTGGTGGCAACGATTTATGGTATGTTGCATGTGTCTACAACAAGGGTGTTGTTACAAACTCTAAAAGGATTTTCTCCACTAAGTACGAAAAATATGTTTGGACAATTGTGCCAAGGTATTTCGTTGTTAATTATGTTTATACTTTGTTAATGATTATTGTTTATGTTTATAGATTATGGATTACAAATACATGTACCGTATCAAATTCAGGGTGATTGATGAAACTGATTTTGTCACATTCGTAGTTTTTGATCATGATTGCTATCTACTAACAAAGAAAACTTGTGCTGATTTGATTGATCAAATGGATCAAGTGAGTGTTTCATTCTTACACATATCTATTACCTATTTTAGGTTGTATTATCAAATGTTATCTAATATTTTTTGTTTCTAACATTTCAGATTTTAGGCTGATGAGCCAACCATTTTGCCAATGGTTATTGGTGAATTGATTGAACAAACTATGCTCTTTAAGATTGTTGTGAACAATGACGTGAACTCTGGGTTTGAACAGCCATTTCGTGTCAAAAAATTGTGTCTTGACCAAGATATCGTGGCTAAATTCAAGAATGTTGTTCAAGTATTATATATTATCGTACATAGTTGCGTATCATTATAGTTTAACTTCATTATATGTCTTGGTACAGTGTTTATTAATATCAATGTACGTTTAATATAGAACTCTGGTGGTGTTGAGGATGATTTGGCTGTTGGTGTTATTCATAATGACATAGATGTTATTGTGGTTCAAGATGTGGGCAGCAAGTTTGAGAACATTGATGTCGAGGAGAAATGTGGAGATAATGGTTCGACTTCCAAACTTATTGAAGAAAATATTGCTGAAAGCACTCTTGTTAAAAGGGGCATATATGAACTTGCTGATGAAAATGACGGAGCCAGCTCAAGAATTACGAAAATCATTAAGATTGAGAAGAAGTGATTGGCATGTGTCTTCTTTTAGTATTCTCTTAGATCAATAGTAAGAAATTCACATTTAAATATCCTGGATGATTCTTGTGTTTGATTTTGCGGGCGTATGTTAAGCTCAGATTTGCGTTTTTAACTTTTGGTTTATGTTACAATTTATGGTGTTGTTTGTTATTTTACTTGGGTTACTTTTGGTATTGTGTAACGATATTCCGTTGCCGTGTTTGTTATATTAATCCATTTTTGAACAATATAAATATGTTAAGTATGTTAATCAACAACATATTCTTGTTATTCTGTTCATTTCATATATCTACTTTTGTTAGTATTTTTTAATGTTGTCTGTTTAGTAACAATCGTTTAAAAAGGTTAATGTCAGTAGCCCGTCAAATTAGAGGAAACACTTAACTAATGGTAACACATTACAGATATGTAATTTCATACCAACCATGATTAACATTTTGCATATTGTATAGATTTCATGTTATAGTGTGATTCATCGAGCACTAAACAACTTTGAAGGCTACATGTATGATGTACATAGATATTTTGTCTTAGTTATATTCATGATATAAATGTTTGCACAAGTTTAAAAACGATAATTAGTGAAACTCCTTAGGTTGAAGTGCGATAAATAATAAATACCCCAATCAACTTCCGTTGTTGTATTTGCATTAATTTTAATTAATTCAATCATTCTTTTGTTGTATCATTAAAGGCCTAACAACTTTTTTAAGAACCTGTTACAACTAATATACTTATCCATAAACAACTCATTTACCGTATGCTTTTAGTACTATCCATAAACATGTGGAAAGTGGAGCATAGGGAGAGCGGGAGTTCGAGCGTTGTAGTATGTAGAGGATGATTAATTGTGTTTCCTTCCCAAAGCTCTCTAGAAACAACTCATTTAAATAAGAGAGCCTCCATTATGCGAAAGCATCGCTTCAGTTTCTTTACTCGATTGTGGCATCAGTTTTTGTGTTAATATTTTTGAGTGAGACGATTCACACCATGGCTCCAAATGCATCAGGTCAACAAAGTGACAATGATCAAATTCCCCTAACAGTTTTTGTGTACAAAGAGAAAAACAAAGTTGTGTATGCTGAGGCCGGGAAAGATTTTGTTGATGTTCTTTTCAGCTTCTTAACATTCCCCTTAGGTACTATTGCAAGACTCGCGGCTAACGATTCAAATATCGAAGCAGTAAACTTTGGCAGCATTAGTTCACTCTATCAAAGTGTGTCAGATCTTGATCAACAATATCTATGGTCAAACACATGCAAAGAAATGCTACTCAATCCTAGAAACTCAATGGAACCTTATTTCCAGAAGATGAAACTCAACATAGACGAAACAGAAACCCTGATGTACTATTTCTGTGAGGACAAAACTTGCAGAAGAGAAAATTGGTATTGTTTGTGTACTTTCAAGGATCAAATATGCACTTGTGGAAAGGTTATGAATGTAGTGCTTCCACAAAAAACCAACTCAGAAAATGGCTTTGTCAACCACAGTTCGACTTTTGTTATTTCCGACAATCTTTTCATAATGCCTAATCTTCTTAAAACAAGTTTAAGTCTCTTTCAGAAGCTTGGAATCAATGACATTGACGCTGTTGATAAACAAATAGTACATATCAGCAAGAAAGAGGTGTGTTTTTTTCTCTATTATTTTTTATACTTTTATTTATTACTAGTATATGATATTGTTTTCTAATTGTTTATATTTGGTTTGATTAGGTAGTTGACATTCTCAAGTTTTCTTTGATATCAAAGACTCCTTTGACAGACTTTATCTTTAAAAAGGTTAAATTGGTTAGTAATTTAGACCCGAGAAATCGATTGGAATTTTGGATCGGTGAATCAGAGTTAGAAGGTGAATCATATGATGAATCTAATATGGTTGTGAAACTATTGAGAAGAAAATCAAATGAACAGATTCTATTTGTTGAGGCTAAAGAAGATTTTGCTGACTTTGTTTTTAGTTTTCTTACCTTTCCTTTGGGACGAGTGTTGCATATGCTCCAAGGAAACTCTTTTTTAAGCTGCTTTGATAATTTATACAAAAGCATCACTGAGTTATGTTCACCTAGATGTTTGGCATCATATGAAATCAAAGACAAATTAACTAAACCTCCGATTTCGATGGAATTCAAGCTCTGGAACCAAATATTACCTATTCATGGCGATTATAAAGATTCAAGTGAACCATTTGAATATGTTGATCCTAAATCTCCTATTTCCGGTGGATTTGCAAAAGGACCTTTAACTTTTATGGTGACAGATGATTTGGTAATGACTCCAATGTCATCTAGTAATGTTGTTTCATATCTAGAAAGAATGAATGTCCCACTTAATGATTTGGAAGAAAGGGTTGTCAGCATAGGTGTCAAGGAGGTAAGCCTTGCCTAAAACTTCTCTGATCGCACTTCATTCAATTCAAGTATTACATGTATCAGATTTACATCTCACAATATTTGGTTTCATGATAATGCAGGGTCTAAGGATTTTAAAAGCTGCATTAACAACAACTTCTGCTTTGACAAACGGTCTCAGCCATTCCATAATGGAGCAGTTCTTTCATGAGAAAAAGTCTCAATCTATCCATAAGGGTAAAAGAAGATGAAAGAAGAGAAATGAAAACGATTGTGATGTTGTTTTGCTTGAGTCCTACAATTGTGGAGTGGTATCATTAGTAATGGATTCGTCCTATAACACCATCCCTATCCCACAAGTTGATGGTTTGTATATATGTAGATCCTTAACTTGAATAGCAGGATGTTAAAGGGTTTAGGCAACAATAGTTTTCTGAAAAAGTCTGTCAATTGCTTCTTTGAAGAACATGGTAACAACTTCATTATTCTAGCTAGCATCTTTTCTATAACAATGTAACAAAGGGTCTGCTTAATTCAATCGAGAGAGGAAAGGAGGGATTTGATTTTCATATATGTTTGGTTTAAAATATGAAAAAGGCGAGGATGAGAGAAATTTTAAATACAAACATATTTGGTTCACAACAGCAAATAAGGTATTTTAAAACTAGTTTTCTTTTTTATGCTTATAATTTTATTAAGTGAATCATAATATTCACTATTTCTAAATCAAACACAAATTTATTAACAAAATATAATAATATTTACCATTTGAACTCAAATTTATTAACAAAATATAAGTATTCAACTTGAGAATATCATAAGTTATTTTAAAAACTTATCGATACTAATATACAAATTTAAAAGATAGCTGAATCCAATAAAGAAAATTATTTTAAAGAAAAAACTTAAGATAATTAAAATATAACTTTAAAATTTTAAAAATAATAATAAAACAATAAAATAAGAACAAAATAAAGCACATGAAAAAAAAGAGTCATTATAACGTAATAACATTGATAAATTTGGTCCTTAATAGTCTACCTTTGTATTTCTTCTGTTTCTATAAATCCTTTAGCATTACTATTCATAACATCATTCAAATTCGATGGCATTTCTTATAGTGTAAAAGGTTTACGCTCTGTTTGGTAAAACTAGATGTTAGTTTATAGTTAATAGTTGGTAATTAGTAGTTAATAGCTGATAACTGATAGTTTATAAGTGGTGATTGATAGTTGATAAGCTAACATGAGTGTTTGATAAATTAATTGTTTCATTAGTTGATAGACATAAAATGACATAAAATGACATTTTAATTAATAAGTATAATAACATATTTTTGTTAAAATAATAAGAATATAAATAGAAGAAAAAATCACAAGTTAAAAGCTACAAACTCAAAAACTACTTTTAAAAAAAAGCTAATAAAAAAACTATAAACTAAAAGCTAAAATCGAGTTACCAAACAGAACTTTTTCATTAATGTGAGTCGAAAAACTAAAAGTTAAAAACTAAAAACTCTTTTTTAAGTCTTACAAAATAGATTCTTAGATGAGACAAATATCAAATGAGTGAGTTGAGAAAAAAGATTTGTAGAAACAAAAAAGAAGGTGGTTTTGGAGTAAGGATGGAAATAGGCTAGGCTAAACTATGCTTTATAAGACGTGAGTCTGGCGTACGATAAACTTACAAAGCTTGAGTCTGACCTATGGTCTACTATAGGCTCATTTTTTTGGCCTGGCCTGACCTTTTTAAAAGTCTGGTCTGGCCTGAAAGTTTATTTAAAAGTTTGTTTCTGATTAAGGTTTTTAATAAATCCATATTACTTAAGAAGTCTTATAGGTTGGCCTATATATGCATATATAGGCAAACCTATTTAGCATTTTTTTTCTAATATATGTCAGCCTATTTAGCTTTTTTCTAATATATATATATATATATATATATATATATATATATATATATATATATATATATATATATATATATATATATATATATATATATATATATATATATATATATATATATATATATATATATATATATATATATATATATATATATATATATATATATATATATATATATATATATATATATATATATATATATATACGACCTCCTATTATTAGGGCGAGTTTTGATTTTCTCCCCTGAAGTTTTTTTTGTTTTTTGTGTTTCCATCCTTGTAAAACAAAGATTATGTTCTGTGAAGACCCTATCCCTTGTTTGGCTGACTGGGCAAGCATTAGAATGGCTAGGTGGCATTATGGAATACCTTATTGGATTATTGTCTAATACATTAAATAAAAATACAATAAAACACAAATATGTATTCATGTTTACCCCCGTGAATAGCTTAGGGTTCAAAGTTGGAAACTTTCTCTGGGAAAGACGAAGCAATGGCTGGGAAAGGTGAAGATTTAGTCCATTCGTCCCAGGTAAGTTCGAATTTTCATCTCTATTACTTGAATCTAACATGCATTGTTGTGTTTAATCTTACATTTAATATCTAATTTCAGAATAAACTGATGTTTAACATTGTTTTTCACCATGGAAGAGAGTTCGTGAAGTTGAGTGATGGTGAAACGATATATAGGGGTGGAGTTTCCACATTAGTTTATGGGTTACACATGGAAAAGAGTACACTGATTCAGCTGCATAACATAGTAAATAGGTGGGTTACTTAGAGTAAAGATTATGGACAAAAAACATAGACATAGATCCTAACTTTTCCAGATTAAGAGTGATGAGGATGTTTATGACTTATCTGCTTATGCTTGTTCAATGGAATTTGATGGTGAACTGTTTGTGGAACACGATGCAAATGGAAGTGAAAGCATTCCCAAATGTGTGAATGAAATTGTTGAGTTAGATGTTAGTGATGAAGAGGTAGTTGAAGGGTTAAACGATATTGAGGATGAAAGAACAACTGTCATTGCAGATGGGTTTGATGGGATTGGTGTAACTATACCAATTAGGGAGGGTTCAATCATAGCTGGCATGTTGTCTTGTTCTTCTAAGAGTACATGGGAAGACAACGATTATGTTAGTGAAGATCTAGATAGCTTTGATCTTGATAACTCAGAATAAGAAAAAGGACCTAAGCTTGAGAAGTTTAAGAAAGAGAAGCTTAATAAGAATTTCAAGTTTAAGTGGGGTATGGAGTTCAATTCCCTAAATGACTTTCGAGAGGCCATTCGTGAGTGGATTATTTTAAATGGGAGGAAAATAACTTTTGTGAAAAATGAGGGGTACAAGGTGAGGGTAGAATGTAAGGCTAAATGTGGGCTTTTAATGCTTTGTTCTAGGGTGGCCCATAAGCACGCTTATGCCATTAAGACTATAAAAGACACCCACATATGTGTTAGGATTTTGAATAATAGATCTGCAAGTTCTAAGTGGGTGGCCAAGATTATGGTTAAGAAAATGAAAACATCTAATAAAGTGAGGATTTGTGATATCATTCAAGATATGAGGCCAAATTATTCGGTGGGGTATAATTGTGGCAAGGGCATGGAAAGCTTAATTGATTGCGAAAAAGTTCATTGAAGGGGATGCAGACAAGCAATATGCAAATCTGTGGAGATATGCCGCTGAGTTTGAAGAGCGTAAATACTGGAAATACTCTGAAGGTTAACATTGATAGACCAATCCTTCAATCCAACCAAGGTTTATATCTTTTTATTTCTGTTTTGATGGATGTAAAAAAGGGTTCATAAATGGTTGCAGACCATTTATTGGGGTTGATGGGTGTCATTTGAAGACTAAATATGGAGGTCATCTTTTAATAGCCATTGGTAAGGACCATAATGACTAATACTTCTCATTGATCTTTGGTGTTGTGGAGACAGAAACAAATGATAGCTGGAGGTGGTTCATTCAGTTGTTAATGGAAGATATTGGAAAAGACAAAAGACATGTCTTTATTTCAGATCAGCAAAAGATAATCCCTTTAAATGTTCAGTAGTTGTTAATGTTGATGTTCTAAATGTTCAATAGTTGCTCTAAATGTTCAGTAGTTATTAATGTTGATTTACTTTGGTCACAATTTTTGGTGGCCGTTTTTGAAGAGATGTTTGACCGAATTGAGCATATGTTATGCTTGAGACATTTGTATGCAAACTTCAAGAAGAAGTTTGGTGGTTAATCACTCATAAGAGATCTAATGATGGAAGCAATCAAAGCAACTTACCATCAAGCATGGATGCAAAAGAAGAATAAATTGAAGCAAGTAGATCCAAATGCCTGGGCAGGGTTAATGGGAGTGAATATAAAATGTTGGTGTAAGCATGCATTTAGTTGTTATCCAAAATGTGATGTACTGATGAACAACATTGCACAATCATTTAATGCAACCATTCTAATTGCTAGATATAAACCTATATTGACAATGTGTAAGTGGATTAGGAAATATCAGATGAATATGTGGTAATTCTACTTTGAAACTTGAGAAATGGCCACACTTGGAAATGGTGCAGGTGCAAATGCTGCTGATGAAACTGTAATAACAAATCAAAATTCTGGTGCAAATGCAAGTGTGATTGATGAAACTGTAACAACAGATCAAAATGAAGGTGCAAGTGTGAATGTGGCATCACAAAATGAAGGAACTGCTCAACCATATTAGCCATCTGCTGCAACTCAGAATGATGCTTCATTGTTTGGGGATGTTACTGATGAAATGATGTCAAGCATACTGACATTAATCCAAGTGTGCAAACAACAACAACCATTTGCTCAACAACTACCATAAGGAAAAGAAAGGCAAATGAAGCTAAACCTATGAGAAAGAGGTCAAGTGAGAGAATAAAATTTAATTGGTTTAAAAAACAAAAACCATTCACAGGTGCTAGTTCTAACCCAGAGCAACCGATTGTACTTGATTGAAGAAGAAGAAGACAATGGCTCCCAACTTAAAAGGAAGGTTCCAAAGAAGGTAACAAAGAAGAAATCAGTTTATAACCTTTAGTTTATATGTGTAATGACACTTATTATGTTTTAGTGTTATTTTGTAAGGAATGATCCAAACTTTTGGTATGCTCTTTTGGAATGATGCACACTTTTGGTGCTCTTTTGTAATGAATGGATAATGCACACTTTTGGTTCTCTTTTGTAATATCTGACTTATGCATACTTTTGGTGCTTTTATCAAATGCTTAATGCAACTTTCCATATTATCAAATGATTAACACAACTTGTTTTACAGAAACATAAACCTTTCCATTAACATAAAGAAGTTTCAAAATACATGATTATGCTAACATTGTTCAATAACCAGAAAATTACAACTATTTAACCTACTTAAAATTAAATTAAGTTATACAATAAAGCAATAATTAAACAACACATAACAATTTCCATCTTGAGCTTCATATTAAACTTTCTCTGAGTTTCATGTTTCATCTTTCACTTTTCAAATTTCTTTGTTGATGTTTCTAACTACACTTCTAGAATCTCACACTTGTTACAAAATGGTTGATTTACACTCTTCCCTTTCATATAGTCTCCAATTTCATCATCCCATAAGAATAATTCACAGATATTCACGTTCTACAAAATATAATTTACACATCTGTTAACATGAATAGAAATCAAATTTTTCCATTTAAGCACAAACATTCTTACCCCAGAACTGCGACATTTTCAGAACTTTCTATTTCGGTTTTGAACTATGTTGGAGACCCACACCTTAATTGCTCGATCACAACCACATTAGGGTAAACCTGGGAATCCAACGGAATTATCGCTGCTTCCAAAAGAATTGCGTCCAACCATGCTTCCAATTGAAAGGATAGAGTATGGGCGCAGAAGAAGCATACGAATGAACCAACACTGACGAAGAAGCAGAAGAATGGAACAAAAGGGAAGAAGAAATCAAAGGAAGAAGTATAAATGACAAACCCTAAAACTGACGAAGAAGCATAAGAATGGAACAGAAGGGGAAGAAGAAATCGAAGGAAGAAGCATAAATGATAAACCATATAACAATGGGATTTTATTTAATTCAAAAAGCTAAGCCCAATCAACAAATTCTCAAAGCCACGTAGCCAGAATCCAAATTCCAAGTCATCCAAACAAGAAACATGGTCTGCTAAAAGAGAATCTTTGTTTTATAAGGGTGCATTCACAAAAAAATTACTTCAGGGGGGAAAACCAAAACTCGCCCTAATGAAAGAGGGGTCGTGTGTGTGTGTGTGTGTGTATATATATATATATATATATATATATATATATATATATATATATATATATATATATATATATATATATATATAGATATATATATATATATATATATATATATATATATATATATATATATATATATATATATATATATATATATATAATATATATATATATATATATATATATATATATATATATATATATATATATATATATATATATATATATAATATATATATATATATATATATATATATATATATATATAATATATATATATATATATATATATATATATATATATATATATATATATATATATATATATATATATATATATATAGGCCGACATCTTTCTCTATTTAATTAAATCGTTGGTCATCACATCTTCATTGTTTTCTTGTTCTTCTGGATTTTTCTTGGCAACATCTTTCCCTCTGGGTGGAAACAACTTTCTTTCAACCGGGGGTTTGTCTGTAGCCATCTTGTTTGATGAAAACTGGTTGTTACTTGATTCACTTGTCTTCTTTGTTGCTAGTTCCCTTTCATCCTTCTTTATCCTCTTATTCCTTCGCCACTGGGATCTAGACATTTGATTCTTACCCTTATAGTTCTTTGTCCTATAAGCCTCTCTCTACGATGCTTGGAATTGTTTTCTGTAAGTCATCATAGTCCTGCCTCCCTCATCGAAACTCCTCCACTTATTCCTTACTTCACTTGAGTTGACCCATCGATCTGTTGGTATATCAGTAAGAAGTTTGAAAAGCTACCATTCGATTCAATTTTGGGTGAGGACTGTCTTGTCTCCTTGAGATTCCCCTCTTGTCGAAGTTAAAACTGGACTTGACCTTGCTTTGATTTCCCCAGGCTTGGGTGTATGGAAATCTTGTGAACATCTCAGCAGCCTTCTTGTCATACACATCACCACATCTGGGGCACATCAAGCATATAGAGTTAGCCTTTTGGCATCTCACAAGGAAACCTAACAAACTTTACCTGGCTTGGGGTAAGGAGTCAATATTTGGTTTGGACTTCTCCAGTTCCTCCTAGTCTGCGCCTTCTGGATCCTCTCGTATGCTGTCGCGGCCCTTTGACCATGAGTTATACTGCATCTAGGGAACATAAGCATATCAGCATCTTGTGCATGGCAGCGGAACAAGTAATCACGCATACTTTCGTTGCTTCTTGCATATCCTCCCCTTATTTGATCATTTTCCCATTTCAATTTTCTTTCTATTTCCTCCATTTCTAGAGTAGGTTGATTCAAATCTATCATGTTGATCTCATGGTTTTGACCTTCACTAGTCTCGATCTCTCCATAGGAAGGTTTTGAGTCCTTAGTAATCTTCACCTCTTCAAATTTCACTCTAAGACCTTCAGTAGCTTTAGCATTTTCCACTTCTGGGGCCGCGTCATCAACAACGTTGCCCTTTGTAGTTTGATCTTGTGGAACTTCGGCAATCTCTGGAAGAGGATCCTCAGCAATTTCATCGAAAGAGTCTTCAGACTTGCAGCCTTCAGTAGCCTCGCTCTATTCCACCTTCACCTGTTGGCTAAAACCCGCATCAGATACATCCACCATGTTGATGTCCAATGGCTCAGCATGATTTGTTTCAGCCACATTGAGGGGGTCGGTATCTATCTTCATCTGACTTTTTGCTTTTTCTCCAAACTTGAGCCTTCCATCCTCGATGGCATTCTGAATCAAATCCCTGAAAAGAAAGCATTGTGAGATTTTATGGCCTAAGAAGTTATGATATTTTCATAAACCCCTCTTCTTTCTTTGTTCCAACTGAGGAATCTTAGCATTTTGTGGGCACTATCATCTGGCCATCTTTCACTAATAAGTCAAATATTTCATCACATTTCGTTACATCGAATGTGTACGTTTTCTTAGGATATTTGTCATTTTTTATGTTTCGATGGGGTTTTTGCCATTCGATGGGGCAAGAACCTTACAAGAGTATGGGGGTGCCTGTTTTAGTTCTGCCAAATCTATTTCAAGCTCTTCGAAACCAAAAGGATCATTTAGAATTTCTTGTTCCTCTTCTTCGACTTCGATATATGCAACCCTCTCTTTCTTGTAGTTTTTATTTACCCTAATTTTTTCAACTTTTAAACGTTCGACTTGTCGAACCCTATCTGCTAACTGAGCCATGTCTCTTAGATATTGGGTATCTAGGTTTCTTTCGAATGGAATAGTCTAAACCTCCTGCGGCCATTTCGACTAGTTCATGTTCGGGGACCACTGTAAAGCATCTAGACTTCAGTAAATCAAATCTATTAAGATAATCATCTATTGGTTCAGTGAATTTCCTCTTGATATTGGCCAATTCTTTGAGACTTATCTTAGATTTCCTCATGTAAAATTGTTTATGAAATAGTCTTTCCAAGTGTTGCCAACTATTTATAGAACCCGACGAAAGAGTAGTAAACCAAGTGAAATCATTTTTTGTTAGCGAGCTTGGAAAGTATTTTATTCTCAGGTTCTCACTATTTTCCAAATCCCCTGCTTCAGTCAAATACCTATGTGTTCCACAGTGGATTCATTAGTATCTCCTAAAAATTTTGTAAACTTAGGGACTTTGCAACCCCTTGGTAATTCTGTTTGTAATATATATTCAGATAGAATGGATGAATAATTTGGTCTCCTAAGTCCGGTATTTAGACCATTTTATGCCATGATTCTCTCGATCATGGTGGTCAAGTTATTTTCCATATTATCTTGTATAACTCTATGGACCACTTCATCTGTATTTTGATCCCTATTAACTACCATTACCCTCCTAGGTTGTTCCTCTTGGACATCGTTTCAAATCCTTTGTTGCTCTACCCTTGGTTCTATGATTATTTCGACAACCTCCTGTCTAGGTAGTCTTACTTGGTTAATGGTTGGTTCTTCCTCCTGAACAACTGGGGCCTGGTTTTTCCTACGTCGAACAGACGCTTCGGAAGCATCAAAAAAATCTGCTATGCGCACCATCTGCGCTGACATTTACTGATAGGTGTGGGTATTTTCTTGATTTATTTTGTTAATCTTTTGGATCAAAGGAGTGAAAATGGTACTCATCTCTCTAGCCAACACTCCTACCATATCATGGTTACTATCATTCATTTGTTGCATGAATACTGCCTGATTGCTCGTTGTCAATATAGGCATTTGGGTAAAAGACCCTTGATTATGGGTATTTCGACCCATATTATTCATCCCAGAACTAGACCCTTGTAGCGGGGATTGGATAGTACTATTATGAAGTCCTTCCATGAAAGAAGTTGGCATTCCATATGGTGGTGGTTCCCTAAGTGTCCTAAATGTTTCAAATCCTAGAGGCCTGAGGGTTGAAAATTGGGCTTGGTTCCCAACATGTGTAAAAACTGGCCTAATTTGGGTATTCGAAGGAATGGCCGCTGCACTCGAAGATAGAGGTATGGTTGTCAAATTATTTGTGGCCAATGAACCCATAGATGTAGACATGACCTGTGTGTAAGGGATTGTAGTTAATGTATCCATCGAACTTGCAACAACCGTGTCTGGTCCCTGTGGGGGATTTTGTTCTCCATCATGGCTAGTTGCGTTAACCATCTTTCTTGTATATTTTCTTTTGGGTTTTGGTTGGTTACTGTTGGCTATTTTACCACTTCTAAGGTTCATACAACAATAACGAAATACAGACTCAAAAGATGAACGACGAAAGATAGATGTTTACAGAAAAATATAAAATTTCAAGAACTTTGACACGGTCCCACTGGGCGTGCCAATTTGTTTACGCGTAAATTCGGTAAATAACCGCTAGTCTTCCAAACTAAACACTTTGGTAACTTGCAGGGATCGACTAAATTGATCCTAGGACACGTGTCTAAGTTCCTAACTTTGAACTGGTAATAAAGTTTATGTTAAACATAAACTTTATTACCAGTTCAAACTTAGGAACTTAGACACGTGTCCTATGATCAATCTAGTCGATCCTGCAAGTTACCAAAATGTTTAGTTTGGAAGACTAGCGGTTGTTTACGAATTTACGCGTAAACAGCTGCCTGTGAAATCAACCATGGTCGACATGCTTTGGTAATCGACTCCTCATAATTTAATGCTTTTTAATACTTTTAAAAGACCCTTTGACTTTTAGTTTAGATTTCTCTCTTTATGAAAATCTCAGCAACAATTAGCCAACATAGACCTTTTTGCAACAGACTTTTAATGTAGAGACTAACGCCAAAAAAATAAACATATAAGGACTTAGACAAAAAAAACATTCATAAATCAAAATATAAAACTAGCTAACTTACTGGACCAACATAACATTATTTAAGCCTTTTTCTTAAACTAAAAAATGACTTTTTAAAATTTTTATTCTATTTCAGAAATGAAAAAAATTAATTTTTTTATTGAAAAAGAGTTAAAAATATAAAACATAAAATCAGTTTATAAATAAAAATTAATTATACATTGATTTTATAATTAGTCCTAAATTGATTTTAAATTAAACTGAAATCATTTTCATAATTAACTATATCTTTTTCTCTTTTATCAAAACAACAAAAGCTATGTTCTTGAATTTTGCCGTTTGTTGTCAGCATCTTACCGTGTATTAAGAGCGTAGACAATTTACAACGCTCATAACAATCTCATAGCGACTCATCAATTTTCTATAATCCACAATTCAACTTTCTTAATGGCAAAGTTAAATTAAAATCATATTATATATAATGCAACATTTGTCCATAACTTGGACTCTGTCTTAGCTATCTTAACCATCATGGAGCAACCTCTTCTATCGGGTACAATTTCAATTCTCGCCCATCACAATCTTTTCCCATAAATTTTCAATTTTTACCATTGATCTTGAAAATTTGTCATGATTTTGATTCTGGGTATTTTTTGTTTTTTTGTTTTGTTGAATTAGAGCTAAGAAGTGAATTGGGTGAGAATCAGAATGAAAAATGGAGCTCGTATCAGTATGTGGGTCGATCAGGCTCTGCGATTCCCACTGCTTCGTTGGCTGGAACTGATGTGAGTGTTGATGAAATTCGATCTGCTGCTGCTGTTTCTTCTGCTGCAGGTTATTATCCTCCTTCTGTTCACGGGGCTTTGGTTGGATCACCTGAGCCTGATCCTGCAGGTTGGTTATTTTGTTGTTTCTGGTTATTTTTGTCTCTCTTTTCAGTTTTCATGATTGGTTTTGGCCTATTGAGTCGATATATATTAGATACAAAGTGTGATATGTGATTGATGATAATGAATTTATGCTTGAGTAGGTAGAATTTGTTTTGTTTTTCTTCGGAAGTTATGAGGGAAATAGAGGGTTACTAGCTTTTCTTGTTTAAGTTTTTTGTTGCAGAAGGGTTTTTGCCTGTGTATAAACTTCAGTGTTAATTACGTTACTTGTTGCAGTGCAAGCTCTTGTTTATCAAGGCGGATATGGAGGAGATTATGAGGAACTAGGCCTGAATCCCGGAGGTATAGTTACTTAAACGGTGTTTTTGAAAGATGTGTTTCAATATCTTGTCATATTTATACTAGGTTGTGCATCATGATATCTAATTTTGCGGTTTTATTTTCTAAAAGAGTATTAGTTGTTGTTTTATTCTATAATGATTTAGACCATATTATTGCTGATGTTAGGAGCTGGAAATAAAATGTCTTTTTGTGAAGTGTTGCAATGTTGTCATTGATCAATACGTCTAATTTGCTAAATAGTCTTGTCAAATGGATAATCCACTTACAGGAAACCTTGGATGAAGTGGAAATACGAGAGTTGCTGATTGATCACGTTGGTCATCGTTGCTGTTGGGGTAGTCGTCCTGCTCGAACATGGAAGATTCATGCAGTGGAAGACTGTAACGTTTACGTTGGAACTCTCGATACATTTATAGAAGAAAGAGAGATCATAAAAGAGACAGAGCCATTTCTTGGTGGCAGTATTGATGGTAAGGATAATGGACCAGCACTTAGTATTTGGGAATTGGATCTAAGATCTCAGTTCCCTGTTCTATTTGTACCCCACAAAGAAGTCCGTGAAAAGATTCCTCATTCTGAAACTATTGAGAAATGCTCAGGTAAATTGTGTATTTATGATCTCATAGTTCCATCAATCACATTTCGATGTATATACTCTGTAATTTACTTGCTATTTCTTTTTTACCTTCACATTAAAACCCTGTAAATTATCTTCAGGTTGTGCCGGACGTCTGTGGTACTTGCAATGCGACCAAGAACCTGGACATTATAAAGAAAATCAGATGAGCCAGTGTACTAGTTGTTATGGAAGGGGTTTGATTGCTCATAAAGATGGTTCTGACACAATGTAAGCTAGTTTGTTTGCTTATATGTAGTTTGTAAATTAGGTGGAGCTATTGTACATATGGCTCCTATTGAATGATTTTTAGGAACTCAAGCTGAGGTCAAATGTCTATGCTGCATTGCCTAGTTATTTGAAGATGAAAGTTTATACTCCTAATTAACTTATTCAATTTACATGTTCTTGCAGATGTGTGAAATGTGATGGTAAAGGGAAGCTTCCTTGTGCAACTTGTGGATCTCGTGGCTTACTTAAATGTGAAACGTGTAATGGAAGTGGCTCTCTTTTAGCACGCAGTGTAGCCATTATTAAGTGGTATGTTAATTCGCTCATGTCTAACCTTCTTTTAAGAAGTTCCTACAGTTTCAGGTTGTTATTCTCAATATCGACATCTTTTAGCAACAATACTAATTGAGAACATTGTGCATTTACAGGAAGACACTTTCAACTCGGAAAGTTAATGCAACTAGAGGAGCGGCATCAGTACCTGATGAGATTTTCCATAGATCCCAAGGGGTTCAATTATGCAACACACAGGCTTACCAATGCAATCCTGCCTTTTTTGCTGATTCATTTTTTCTCAACATGTTCTCTTCTGAAGTCATCGCTGAGAGAGCTCAAGTGCCTACCACTGCAAGGGTCATTTGCGAGAGACATACAATCTCAGTTGTTCCGGTAACTCGTGTCACCATGTCTCATCGCCGGCAATCTTTCAGTTTCTATATTGTAGGATATAACAGGGACGTTTACTTAAAGGATTATTACCCCTCTAGATTTTGTTGGGGCCTGTGCCCTTGTTTGGAATGGTTGAAATTGTAAGGTCGTGTAAAGTTCTATCTACACATGTTTGCATGTTCTCTTTTGTTTTTTTCTGAATAACAACAGAAGCATGTTTTTCTGGTTTGAGGGGTTTGTAGATTTTCTTTGTATTATCCATAAACTTGTAAGAACCACGGGTATGGATTATATATATATTTATGAACTAAAGCTAAATTCGAGTGGTGAATATTTTGGATTCTGTTCTTATGTTGGTCGTTTTATTATTCATGGCTTGTTTGGATCGCTTAATACTTGTTGTAACTTCTGTTCTTTCACTTTTTCTTTGGCTTATTTGGGTTGCTTTTCTGCTAAGGGCTATGAGTTGTAAGACAAGCATAAACTATTTGCAAGAAATAATATAATCACTAGGACAGCATCTAGCATATCGCACTATCGTGTGCAGAAGGAGTGAATTAGAGGAACAGGAGAAAATATATTGGCCTTCACATTTTGAATTTCCACACCTAGGCTAAAGCATTTAGAGCCCTAGTAAACCAACCAAAACAGCATTTGATTACATAATTTTGTGAAGAAACCTGTATTCCGAGAAAAAGGGTATTTATGCCATTAGAAAACTTCACGAACAGTAGAACTTGCACACAAACATTCAGGAAATTTTATAACGTTGACTAGCTCAATGTTTACTATGCGTTTGAGTGGCGTTGCTTATATTTTCGATGAATAAGTATGGGTTGATGTTTGGTTCCACTACTATAAAATCCATAATCAATTCTAGAGATGTAGAATGGATTCTGGGTGATTTTAAATGTTTGATTTGTTAAAAGTAGAATTGATAGAGAAGATAAATTATTTAAATAAATAATTTAGCTACTTAAATGAATGTCTAATTTATATTAATAGTACTTTTATTTGCATTGTTACGTAGTTGGACTTTTATTAGTGTTTTGGTCTTTTAGAAAATTATTCAATATGACTATTATATATGTAGTCTCAATGAGACATTGAAGGAGATCAATGAAAAAGATGTTATTTTAGTTTTATTAGATTTTTTTTGTATTGTTCTTTCCTTTTTCTATTACAAACCGTAGTTTCAGAGTTTTGATAAGAAAACTTTATATCAATTGGTGTTTTCATTCTTCAACATCAAAACCTCTTCCATGGTATACCAATTTCACTTCACCATAGACACCACTCCTACCACATCCTCATTTTCATCTTTTCTATGAGAAATTTTTACACCTTATTATTTTGTTGCATCATCATCACCAAATTTGTATTTAACTCATAGGTATTCACCACACACATACATATATATATATATATATATATATATATATATATATATATATATATATATATATATATATATATATATATATATATATATATATATATATATATATATATATATATATATATATATCCCTCTTATTCAACAATGCATCATTAATATGTTTACCCAAATTGGAGTCATGGACCACACATGCACAACACACCAGAACAACTTTTAACCTCACACCAACCATTCACTCAGCAACAACCACTCACCACTTCAACCTATACGAGTAGTTACTACCCAGAAGTCACATATCAATTTTCTTATAATCTTCTATCACAAGGGTCTAAAAAACTTCTGATATCATCGATGGCAACAACATCTCCAACTGTTGAGGAGGATGTAGTAGAATCATCATCGAATATGTGCCTAAAATCTCTTAAATGTGACACCTTGGATCAACCTACAACTGCAAAACAAACGAAAGAAGCTCCCAATCTGTATGAGGAGGAAGAGGAACCTGCTTGGACTTTAAAATCTGATACGATAGAGACAACCACGACTGTCTTGAAACAACTATATTTTCCTCCTTACAATTCAATCTCATATGTGGAAGTGGAGGTGGAACCACTATTAATACCCTCACCTTTAATTTCAAACTCACTTCTTATTTTTCCTCAACCACTGCCTAAACCTTCTTTACTGCAACCACCATTTTCTGCTTCACTGAATATAGTCTCATCATCACCAGCACTACCGCCAGCGCTGAAACCATCAGAGTCACTTTCGGAGCCGCCATCACCGAAACCACTAGAGCCATTGAGGCCACAGAAGAAACCATATATGTTGCAGGTTTGTGCAAAACGCTAAGCTATTGAAAACTCGTTTTATGGTGTTTTAGAAAATAATACATATAAGGTGTTTGATAAAATACATCATGATCCATTTAGAGAGGTAGAATCGAAATCGAAAAGGAGTTATCCTCGTTTGAAAATGTGTCTATAAAGCCTGATTTTGTAAATCTTGGTCCTGGTCACAAACCAATGATTGTGGTGAACTATAAAGCTGAAGAGAAACAATTTTATGCTGAGAAGATATCTTTTATGGTTCTTATGAAGAGGAAGGAGATCGCAGAGGCTTATCTCGGTACAACGGTTAAGAATGATGTTGTTATCGTGCCTGCTTACTTCAATGATATGCAGGATCAGGCTACTAAGGATGCTGGTGTGATCTCGGGGCTGAATGTGATGAAGATCATAAATAAGCCCACTGTTGCTGCTATTGCTTATGGGCTTGATAAGAAAGCTACCGGTGAGAAGAATGTTCTCATTTTTTATCTCGGTGGTGGAACTTTTGATGTTTCACTTCTGACTATTGAGGAAGGTATTTTTGAAGTGAAAACTACGGCTGGTGATATGCATCTGAGAGGTAAGGATTTTGATAACATAATGGTGAATCATTTTGTTCAGGAGTTTAAGAGGAAGAATAAGAAGGCTATTAGTGGGAATCATATGGCTCTGAGGAGATTGAGAACTGCTTCTGAGAGGGCTAAGAAGACACTTTCCCGTACGACTCAAACCACTATTGAAATTGATTCAATGTTTGAGGGTATTGACTTTTACACTACCATTACTCGTGCTCGATTTGAAGAGCTGAACATGAATCTGTTTAGGAAGTGTATGAAGCCTGCTGAGAAGTGTTCGAGGGATGCTAAGATGGACAGGAACATTGTCCATGATGTTGTTCTTGCTGGTGAGCCTACGAGGATTCCTAAAGTTCAACAACTTTTGCAAGATTTCTTCAATGGAAAGGAGCTTTGCAAGAGCATTAACCCTGAGGAGGCTGTGGCTTATGGTGCTGTTGTTCAAGCTGCTATTTTGAGCGGTGAAGGGAATGAGAAAGTACAGGATCTATTATTGCTTGATGTTGCCCCTCTCTCGCTTGGTTTGGAAACTGCGGAAGGGATTATTATTGTGTTGATTATAAGGAACACAATAATTCCGACAAAGAAAAAGCAAGTGTTTTCAACCTACTTTGATAATCAACCTGGTGTGTTGATTCAAGTTTATGAATGAGAAAGAACAAGGACTCGCGATAACAATTTGTTGGGCAAGTTTGAGTTGTCTGGTATTCCACCTGCTCCAAGGGGTGTTCCTCTGACCACTGTCTATTTCGACATTGACGCCAATGGTAATTGTTGCTATTTTTGTCATAGGGGACCTTAAATACAAACAATGGGATCCATGTGATTGCATTTTTAAAAGATTCCATGCTCATGGTGTTGAAATAATTGCTTATAATTGGTTCCAACTTTGGAGGGAAATTGGTATTATGTTGTATGCAATTGATCTCTCTAAAGATAAGCTGTAAACAAAGCAAACAAAAGATTCGTATTTTGAGGGTTTTCTTGCGCTAAAGGGAGCTACTCTAATTCAACTGTATCATGCCATTTTTGATGGTCAACCATCCACCTTCCTTTTGATGCTAGCTTGCTTACCTGCAATCATTTCTCTATTGTTTATGTTTCTGTTGCAGATCTAAGAATTGCAAGATTATGATTACAAAAAGCACTTGGATGGTTTCTCTGCAGTCACTGTCACTATTGTTGTGTATCTCATGTTCATAATAGTTCTGCAGAATTTCGTAAGCTTACCATATTAGGCACGAGTTTTTACAACGGTTGTCCTCATGGTTCTACTAGCATCGACATTTGGCATTGCTGTGATAACTCATTCGGTGGACTTGAGGATATTTTCACAAGGTCAATCCATTGAGACTGCTGCCCCTACAGTAGAATACCAAGACTTGCCTAAATGGAGGATTTGGATCTCATGTTGCTCAGTTCATGGCCCTTGATGGTCTTCTTGATGGAAAATTGAAGTGGAGGTCCTTACAACTACAATGAAATCCCAAGTTTCAATTTCGACATTACTTTATTTTTTCAACCTTGAGGACAAGGTTGATCTTGAAGGAGTGAGTAATGATAGAGAAGAAAAATCATTTAGATAAATAATTTAGCTACTTAAATTAATGTCTACTTTATATTAGTAGTACTTTTATTTGTATTGTTATGTAGTTGGGCTTTTATTAGTATTTGAGCCTTTTAGAAAATTATCCAATATGACTATATATATATATATATATATATATATATATATATATATATATATATATATATATATATATATATATATATATATATATATATATATATATATATATATATATATATATATATATATATATATATATATATATATATATATATATATATATATATATATATATATATAGTTTCAATGAGACATTGAAGGATATGAATGAAAAAGACGTTATTTTCATTTTATTAGATTTTTTTGTATTGTTCTTTCCCCTTTTCTATTACAAACTCTAGTTTTATAGTTTTGATAGGAAAACTTCAATATCATGTAGAATTGATTCTGGGTGATTTTGAAGTGTTTGGTTTGTTAAAAGTAGATTTGATTCTGTTTCCAGAATTTATTATATTTGAAGCTAGAATTTGTAGCTTCTACCTTCAGAATTAATTTTGAATGATTTTTACATTGAAATTTATTGTTCAACTCACTTTTACATAAATGTATGCAAACATAAATCAATTCTAATAAACTCAATTATCTTAAAATCAATTCTATCAAACTCAATTCTATTAGAATCAATTCTATCCACTGCACATACACTAATACTTCTCGAATAACCGCTTTCCACTTATTTTAAAGCATACCAAATTTTATAAGATATAAAGGTCACAATCTCTCTTTAGATTCTTTAGTTATAAAATATGGTTGATAACAAAAATCTTTCTAATTCTTGAAATTGACGCTCAAGATGAACCCAAAGCAAAAAAATAAAAAATAAATGTGTTCAAAATTGAATCAATTAATAGAAAAATGTTAATCGAACTGAATCAAATTAAAAACTAAAAAAAAATCACTGTTTATATTTTATAAATCAAACTACATCAAATCATATTATGTTTTACTATTTAGTTTCTCACAATAATAATGTTTGTCCAATTCAATACCATTTCATATTGAACCCTATATTAAATGTTAGTGATGACTTGTTGAGCTTATTTAAACATTACATATATTGTTGATGTTCAATAATTAATTTTTCACTTAGGAAAGTTTGAGAGATTTCAGAGTCTTTCTTCTTATGGATGTGCTAAGAGTTATTAGTTTAATATTGTAATATTTAGGCTGTCTTTTATTTTCAATTAAATACAAAAATAAAATTAAGAAAGTTGGGCTCATCTTATCAAGAAAAAAAGAGTTGGACCGGGCCAATCGGGCAAGACCGAATACAAATATGAAGGTCCAAATGGCACCTAGGGTTTTACACGGTTCTATAAATTCAGAAAAATCACCATCATTTCACACGCAGCTTATAATTGGAGACACCTTTTCCTTCATCCGCTTCCACGATTCTTCTGCAATTCGAACTACCAGATCCAAGGTATGAATCTATTATCATTATTTCAATTTTCACACTTCAGAGCATCAGTGATGAGCAATTATAATTCGTTATCCTTGCACTTTGATTGTTTGTGAAGAAACTTATGGGGAATTATTACTCTGAGATGCTCTTATTACATACTTCTCGTAATCTTCTATTTTACAGTTGTTTATTTTGTTAATTATTGATATTTTTTTTGTTAATTTGTTCGATTAATGGATCTATGATGTTATTTTAAACTGCGTTATCTATCTGAAACCTCAATAGAGGGTCTGAGGATGAAGTATTATGCTGAGATTCAATCTGATATATAATTAGGGTTTAATATTAGGGTTTAATTACGATTTATTATTGTTTTTATTGAAATTGTTATTTGTTGATAATCACAACTAGAGGAAGATGACGATGATGAAAGGAATAATTAAAAATTTCTGATCATCAAATGTTATGTTTGATATGATCGAATTAATTATCGCTACGTTCTTTCTGATTCATCTTCCATTGTTTATCATTTGTGTTATACTATTGCTCTGTTTTTTTTATGGAATTGTTGAATAAATCCTTGTTATACTGATTTTGTTAATTTTTGTGATCCAGATATGGATCCTATGCCTGAACCAGTGAGTTACCTCTGTGGTGACTGTGGAATTGAGAATACGCTTAAGACTGGTGATGTTATTCAGTGCCGTGACTGTGGTTATAGAATCCTTTACAAGAAGCGCACCCGGCGTATTGTGCAGTACGAGGCTCGTTAAGATGGTTCTTTGGAGCGTGTTAACTGTTCCCATTGAATCATCTTGATAATATACGAACTATGATGTGTATACTAAACTTTTAGAACTCTTAATAATGATGGTTTAGCCTCACTTATTTCTTTGTATTTGCATATTAATGCTTGTGTTGAAACGAAGTCCTAAAAATTGTAATATGAATTTGGGCGCATTACTTTGCAATTTTAATCGTTGTTTTTTAAATCTTTCTGTGCAGAATAGTCTGTTGATCGATAATGTATGAACAAAAACTAAAATCAGAAAATCTAAAATCAGAAACTTTTAACCATCAATAAAAATTAGGAAACAAAATCTAAAATCAGAAACTTTTAACCATCAAAAATTAGGAGGGGATTGATCTTAAAAATAAACTTGGACCCTTAATTCTTTAAAGCATATTATAACATATTTTGATAAAATTAATAGTTTGTTGCCAGCAGGCCGACCTAGTCGATATGCTGTGTAGTCTGTGGCAGTTTTGCTGCAGCGAGTAGGCGACTCTAAAATTCTAACTGACTCTGCTATTTTTTAGCTGTTGTGTATGCTGGTTTGGTGGGTCATGGTCGAGTAGCATTTTTCCTGAACAACTCATAAACTGGTAGTTCCCAGCTGGTCGATCTGGTGGGCGCTTTGCGAAGCTGCAATATAAATTTGAAAACTAAAGTTCTTAGACTTTCACCTTACATCTATTATTAATTGAAAGTTACTTTTATTTCCTTTTGTACTTAAATTTCTCTTTACCTAGAATGTTTATCTCTCAAAGGTCTAAACGAGCCCAGTAGTAAGGTGATCATTTTGTGATTAAAGGATGATATGATGCGTTAATCCACTCCCAAGTTCAACCCAGAAAACTTGTGCTGCTAATCTTGCTATGCTCACACTCCTAATGTTGAATTATATAGCATATTCAAATTAGATAAGTGTCATTATCTATTCCATTGTCAATAATAATCTAAAAGCCCTGATGAGCTCACACCCAGACTGTTGAGTTATATGAAGCATATTAGATAAGTGTCATTAACTATTTCAATCTCAAACTATATTATTACAATTGTGTTTATCCATTAACAATCTCAATTATATTTTTGAAGGAAATATATCCTATAAATGGTAAAAGGAGAATTGTTAGTATATTGAAGTGTGAATAAGAGTTTCATATTAGATGAAATAAATGATGTGAACACCCTTGTAAGTGAGGTATATGAAACTTGAAAGTAATATTTATCTTAATTTTATAATTTAGCACATGTTTGCATTTTTTTCTAAGTCTATCAAGATTTTGAATCTGTAATTGTTATTTGTATTGGTTTAAGACTTCTTTCTACACCCCTTTTATTTGAAATTTTTATTAACTTTAGAAGCTTCTCTTCACTTTGACATTTATATCTGGAATATTGTGGGTTGATAAACTTCTATTCTTCATAGGATTCTGAACTAGGTTTAAGATCAGGATTCTGGATAAGATTATGAACTACTGTCTAAGTTGTTTAATGTGATTCATGTTCCTTTCTCATCAAGCTTGAACAGATGCAATGAAAAGTGAACTAAATTAACTTTCCATAATCAATTTTATCAAGATCCAAACAACACTAAACTTAATTCTGCTTCAAGAATTAACAGCTGAAGTAAAGTAGTATAAAAAACAAGAACATACATCACTTACACATAACTCTTCCAAGTAGCAATATTTGAAAATTTTAACCTCCAAAATCAAAACCAGCAACTAAAAGTTAGAGATAAAACACTCTTGTTTAGCAATGAACGATGTTTGATACTTCTCATTCAAATAAGTTCCAGTTAAGCAATAAAGCCAACAAAGACAAACACCTAAAAAACCAGAAAAAAGAAAATACCTAAATGATCATAATATAGGTGAGCAACTTATAGCTTTCCAAGCAATAATGATCAAAATAAATTTCCACCACCTACTAGACTATATCATGCAAAGTCACATGACTCTCTTATTACTATTTCAGAAAACATTCACAGAACATACACATTCAGAGAGGCCATTTAATAACAATATGCCAAACTGTTATAAATGCTTGAAAAAGGAAAACTTCAATATTTAAAACTAACATAAACAAAACTCAAAGTTTTATTCAAGCATTTTAAGGTAATATTTTAGGATTCAATGTAATCTGTAGAGGATAGATGCTTGATAAATCCTGAATAAACTCGGCGAGCAAACATCATATACTAATATACATTGATAACATAGAAATTTTCCATGTAACAATTAATGCAGATGGAGATCTCAATCTTAATTTTCTCAAAAATAGACAATAACATCAGAAAAAGTAACTAAATTCGTTCTTTACCGAACTACTACAACATAGCATAATCTGAACACAAGGAACACCCAATTTACAACACAGTCATCCAACTTGTTCCATCTTGTAGATCTACTCCTTAACATCTTTAAGGGGTTTATCTACAACAATGTTCACTTTCTTGTACTCGTAATCTACAGGCTGCATAACACACTCCTCTGGAACCACAGGACGTCTATTACCAAACATCGTCCACAAATAAAGTCCCGTGAATGCAGCTAATGATCCACATCCAACACCAAATATCATTGCAGCAAGAATTCTCAAAAGACAATCCCTCTTTGGTTTCACTTCTGGTTCTGGAGGATGATCATTCGCATCATGAGTGGTAAAGACCATATCACGGAGCGGTTTAGAATGCATCCATCGCTGATAATGCCTTACATTAAAGCACCATGAGTAGAGAAAACATGCTTGAGAAGTTTTCCCATTCACAGAACTAAACCCCACAAATATCTCTTCAGTCTTCCACAAATTCGTGAAATCAACCGATTGCCATAACAACGGATTCACCGGCTTCGAATGACCATATTGACTCAACCTAACTTCCAAACACCTCGAACCCGCTTGATAATCAATCCAAGCATGCAACTTTCCACCATTTCTCATAACCATATCAACAGAAGAAGCATTGATTTTTTTAAGAGGAACAGAACTACCAACATTAATAGCCATACTACAACTAGCAGAAGAATTGTCCTTTCCAATTCCAACATCTCTTGAAGCAATAAACTCAACAGCAACAACTCTAGATTCCTTTTCCTTCAACCCAAAACTAAAACCAGATGAACTATTATCAAAAAACTCACCTTGAAAACCACTTGGAACCATAACAAAAGCCAAACCATTCCCATCACCCAAAGACATTGAAAATGAAAAGTAAGTTGAAAATGAAACCAATGTCTTAGGTTCACCACCAACATCTACAAGCTTAACACCCTTCTTGTACAACACTTTCCCATTTCCAGAATTCTCATACCCAGATAGTAAAACTTCAGAACCTCCATTGACAACCTTAGCATTTCCATATAGTCCTACAATAGACTCAAAAACCGGATCTTTTCCAAAATCTGAGAAGGAAAAAGATGAACCAGGATCATCAAAAGCTTGGGTTTTGAGGAACAAGATGAGGAAGGTAAAGGCAGTGAAGTGGTGGAATGTTGACATAATTGAAGTGGGTTTGAGGTTAATTTTGGTGGGTATGGGTTTAAAGTTCCATTAGCATGAAAAAGTGAAATTGTTGATTTTAGGGTTTGTGAGAGAATGAAGAAAACTGAGGAAGAAAGTTAAGAATATTGGGGGAAAAGTTGTTGGGGTTGGAGGTTGTGAAAATTAAATATGTTTTAACTGTTTTTGGTGCATCTCTCTGCATTATGCACTTTACTTTCACTTTCTTCAGTGCTAGACAGTGATAGAATGCAATAAAATAGCGTACTATACTACTACCTCCGTTCGACAAACCCAACTCATCATTTCACATATATTAACAAAATTGTAAAAAAATAAGAGATAATATTTTTACTATAGTATTGTAGAATTAAAAAAAATTATTAAAAATTGAAATAAATGATTCATTTTAAAATATTATTTTATTTTAAATGTCGTAAGATGAAAAGTAATAATATACTACTATAATGAATTTTATAATTGAAGAAATTTGTATTTAGATATAATTAAAAAGTAATTTGAATAATAATAAAATATGACAAAACATATGACACTGTGTAAATTATTTTGATGTGTTTTATTGATCTAGAGTAAAAATAAGATCAGAAATATATTTTTAATTTTAATTTATATAAAAATCTGTTAATTTTTCTGATTTCTGTGTAACACAAAATCAGAATTATTTCTCTGAATCAAAATCGAAAATTAAGTTTCGATTTTAATATAGAATTTATCAAATTTTAATACGTATCAGAAATATATTTTCAATTTTGAAAAATATTTAAGAATTTCACCTAATCCATAAGAAAATCATATGATGAAATAAAAAAAAAAATTCCTTAGTTTAAATCATTAAATTAAGTGTATTTGGTAATAGGATTTTTATCTTTTAAATATAGGGACTTCTTAATATATAAGAAAACCTTGATATTTTGGAATTCTACATAAATAGATTCACATGATACACGTATGACGTCCTTTTCAAGTGTACGAAATCCTATTGTTGATACTTCTCTTTCATATTTAATGCCACAACAATAATAAAGTTATTTATTAGATATTCGATCTTTTAACTAAATTTCTTAGATATTTAAAATATAGCTTTGTGATTTTATTTAGTTGTACTCCCATATTTTTAATCTCTATTTAGTTGTAATATATCTGTAATTTCTATTTTATTTATTTATATCATTTATCTTTTAAAATGTATAAAATTAATCTGTATTTGTTAAAAGTATAATGAGTGACAATCTCTATTGGTGTAGGAATATTTAAAAGTTTTAATATTTTTATAGTGTTATAGCAAGCTCGCATATGAATGATGAGAATATATGTATATGAATGATTGACGAGTGAAATAGGCAATAATTGAGATATTTATAAGAATTCATTGGGTTTGGATCTTAAGACCCGAGAGAATGGTTACCATACTCTTCCCTCATGAGTATGGGAAGTGGAGCCGGTCTTAAGACCTTTTTTGATTACCTTTTTCATACTGTTATGGGATAAACACACATC